GGTTCAACTTCAAGTATTCAATTATTCATCTAACAGAAACCAATAACACAATACAAGAATACAAAGTCTAATGAAATCGTCTTTTGCAGTTGGATAATGCAGATCCAAGTTGAGATACTTGAAGGTGATGATCTGTAAAATACATGAGAATAGTTTAAAGTAGAATTTTATGGCCTTCGAATGCATACCTTATTTTGTTTTTTCGTACTCTGCCAATGTTAAATAATCAACATCAGGTCGTCGCTTCACTAGAGAATCAGTGATATTTAAGAAAGGCGATGGATGTTGCAGGATCTTTTTAAATATAAGAGTTGAAGTTCAAAGCATCACACGAAGCGTTTCGACCTTGCTTAAGGGTCTATCATCAGGTAGTTTACAATCTATAATTACATAAGAATTCTAAACTGTCCAGTACTTTGAAGTAGTTTAGAACTAGTTCGTAATAATAAAATGTGGAATAATATTGTTTTATTCTAAAAGATTTTGAGATTGTGAGCCAGTAGTGGCAATGTTGAAACTTGATTTGAATAATTCAAAAGCTGTTTAAATTATTCAGTTCTTGCTAATATCTAAGTCGTTTACTCAACCAGTCTCTTCGCCGCACCCACAGCATGTGGTGTGGTGCGTGTGCGTGTTAATGTGTAATCATGTATTGTGTTATTGGTTTCTGTTAGATGAATAATTGAATACTTGAAGTTGAACCATTGAATTATTGAATTCAAGTTGGAAGTTTGACATGTAGCTAATTTTACTGCAAGCGATCAAATTACGGAAAGATAGAAGTTGTGCAAATGTTTCAGGGAAAAAATAAAAGTTTCAACAAACTTCTAAGGAGTTTTCGTAAATGATGACTAATATTTTCTAATTTGCTAACTTGTGAGATAAAAAGAAAGAAAGAAATATTAGATATAGCACTAAATTCAAGAATATACGGGGTATATAGAATTGAATTTATTAGATAAATCAAGCGATACTTTGGATCGGTTTCGACCTTGCTTAAGGGTGTCATGAGATGGTTTAGTTGTATACACTGTTAGAAATGATCCTATATGGGATCAAAAACAAAAATATAAAAATTATTTACCTACAGTGGTGACATAGATTACCAGAACGAGTTTTGACTTGACTTTGAGTCTCATCGCCTGGTTTATGCTGCAAACGATTGCAGTAAAATTTCATGTGATACGAATATCACATATCTATGTGTATCGGTTGGGGTATATACATTGAAATTGATTACTGAGAAAGAAATCGGTGAATGGGTAGTGGTCATTCGCAACAACCAATCAGATTAAAGATATGAAAATGAGACTGACAATAACTATTACAATCTGGATATCATCTTAGTGGCTAGACTTCTGTTGAATAACTTCAAGAAATTTATATTGTATGATTAATATAGAAATCAATATTGTAAGATACAAAGATGGACACGATCGATTTCATATATTCTCAGAGAACTAGATGGATATCTATAGAATTCTACTTAGGTCAGTCCAAAAGTAGTTGCGGAGGTATGATAATCCTTCAAAGGAGGGTTCGATAATTTTTTTTTCTATACAGTCTGATAGAGAAAAGAAAGCTCTATTTTTCTATGC